GATAATCAGCGAACTTCGATGCCCACCTTAAATTGCGAAGATCAATGAGATGTTAAAACAAAGTATAAAAGCTCTTTTAGAGGGTCGCCCTGGGGCACTGCGGTGAAGTCCGTGTAGAACATCTTGGTGGGATAAGAAAAGAAGCACAAAGTGGTGGAAGTTTGCAGTGTCAAGCGGATTGTTGGTAGTCTGTGGAAATAAAGGCTCAGCCATGCTGAGTAAATCCTTTTATTCCAAAGGTACTTTACATTTATTCACTAGTCTTAGATGGCAAAGGACAATTTTTGCGACATTAAATGGATTGGTGTTTAGTAAAGAGTTAAAGCATTAAGTTTAAATACAAAAATTTCCATTGGAAGGTTTCATTCTCACCGAAATTTATCACTTTTACTTGAATATCGTAGCACTCGAGGTAGGCCAGTGTGCGTTCATAAAGCGCCGTACCAAAGATTTCGACTGCGCCTGTCTGCTTGTTCCAGTAGACCATAAAAAACTGCTCTAGACCTTTGGTGATACATTCACATTTCAAATCGGGACATCCTCCCTGCAGCAGGCGATATTTCACTAGCGGCGTGGCTTTTTGATAGATGTCGCCTGGCAGAAGGCCAATTTCACTTTGGCTATCTATTGCGCAAATATCTTCATACAAGGTCTCCCGACCAAGCAGTATAAGACCTCGTTTTAGAAGAAAGGAGAACTTGACTGTCCGCCTAATGCGTGTCAGTTTGTAGGTACGGTTGCAGTAGCAATCGAATGCCTCAAAATCCCTTGAAATTTCCTCCATCGCGATGGTGGAGTTGAAACTTGGTCCGTCCTTGTGAATGCTAATGCAATAGACGTTGCAAACTTGTGAGGCTAGTTGAACTGGATCGGCGTCTATCCACTTTGGACCAGGTTTTCGTAAATAGGACGCCCTTACGATGTACATATTGCTTAACTTGCCAGTGTAGAGGCGGAAATTTGCTTGGACTTGAAAGAAATGAGTAGGAAAGCAATACAATATGTCATCATGAAATCTACAATCCCTATTGCTTAAAAAGTTTACCTTCCGCCAATATCGCCTCTCTTTATTCGGATTTCATAGATCTTTCCCCTTAAAATTAGTTTGCCCTTAATTGTGTGTATGTTGAAAGTTCAACCATTGTATTTTGAGCATTTTTGACTTTTCGTGAGGTTATTATTCAAAAACTCAAAAAAATAGGACTCTTACCAAGGAAATGGAGTCGGAAGTGTTTTTCTGCACCCTTCTGTTCTTTATATTCAGCAAAGCAAGATACCTCGACTGTTCCTTCATTTTGGTAACTACTCACCCTAAGAAAAGGGCTTTGAAATGGAATCTTTCCCTTGCAATGAATGTTATGGGAAGGGATGTCGATTAGACCGATTGAGGCTTGCACCTCGATGTCATCTATGTGCTCTCCGAGGAGGTAGTACTGACGATTATTCAGCAGTTGTATTTTAATTGCCGTAGAAACTAAAGAAAATGGGACTGATGCAAACACTAGGTCCTTGCCGAGAGCATTTGTATAGTGGTATACCCACAGGATAGAAAGTGGTAGAGAGTTGCCTCGACCGCGATAGGACCGACAAACGCAGCACAATGGATGGCGGTATTTTTATCAGAGGAGTCAATTTGTTCATTGAAACCCACTTTTTTCATCTCATTTAGGGTCACCGCAAAGCAGGCGTATCTCTCCAGATCCGACATTTTCAGCCTTGAATCGCTAAGCCTCACAGCGAAGGGCACGGTCATTTCTTGATAGAATATTTCAAATATTGTCGAATCTGCAGGAATGCATCCAAATTAGGGAATAAATATATGCATACATTGGACTAGTTTGCCACTCCGAAGCCTCGTTTATCTCATAGGCTGTAATTTTAATCCCTCATCAAATGCAGATAAACATGGGCTAGACACTCTCAAAAATGGCACTGTCACTGGATAAAAACGGTGATGCAAACGTACTGAGAACAAGTACACCTTGAGAAAATTCGCCATTTCGACAGGTTACATTGTAACGTCCCGGCACACCTTTTAGAAGTGGATTTATAGACGAAGCCAATGTCTTTGACCCCGCTTTACATGCCTCTGGATCAGTCAGCGCATAAAGCTCTAATGGGAATTTTGAAGCGCCTTTCAGGTATGCCGAGTCGAACAAGGGTTCGTAAAACAGTTTTTTTACCTCTATAAAATAATTTGATCAAATAATTACAATTTGCACCTCTAGGGTCGCACAAAATACTACTGAAATATTAGTCGACATTGTTTAATTTAAGGAACGCATTAAGCAGCTCAAATAACTTTTTGTGGTGCAGAGCGAATCCTAACAAGGTATTATAAAATTCACACAAAATGGAATGAACTAAGGGAAACTACATTTACTTATGACAGAGACTGGGGTACTGAAATAAGTAATATTTCCTTCGTATTCCACAGAGCATTCGACTCTGTCTCTCGTTAGAGACGAAGTGGCATTAAATTTGGCGTAGTAGTCTTGAAGAATTGTCACGCTCGCTCGGCCGTTGTTCATTCGACACTGGAGTAATTTGAGTTTTGCGCCTGTGGGCGTCTGAATGCAGCGAATGTTCTTGGCTGATCCTGTGTCCACAGCAAATTCGCGGCTTGGATACCATTGAAATTCCTGCGTGACTAAGATGAAAGTAACGCTATCCAATTCGCATTTAATTAGTAGACAAATAAGTCCTTACAAGCACGGGATTTTCTTGCATTTTTGATTTACTAAGTCCTTTTGAGATGTAAAAGACGGTGGAGTACTCGAGCTCGAAATCCGCAAACCGCTAAAGACTTATGCTGGTTATCCTGAGTAAAAAATATTGACACTGTATTTTGGAGCCAAACAAGTCGAATTACTCTCCTTTTATGAATAAAATAGATTCGAAATCGAGCGCATCAAAGAGCGGCCTGAACATTTGAGGTCCTTTGTAAAATGTTTGGAATGTGTTCCTTTAGCTGATTTTAAGGAAGCTAAAACGTCACTGTCTAATTCATTCAATTGCACTAGTCTATCAACGAACGTTTTGACAAGAATTGTTCATGCCAACCCAAAACAACCTGTTCGGTTACCAGTCAAGAGGAGGTTGACGGTTAAAAGGCGGCAATTACTGACAGTCGAATTTTCAATTGCATTTTATTGGTGATTTCAAAATTTCCTGTACCATCACTGACAGAGCCCTGCTGCCCGCAGTAAGTGACAAGACGCGGCAGAAGAGCAATACGTGTACAAAACAAATGCACTCTTGCTATTCTACTAAGTCTAGAATCTCAATTTGAGACAAATGCGTTTGCAGTGTATCTACTGGTCGCCGCATATAATTTTAAGTTAATCTAAAACATGTACAATCCGTATGCTGATTTACTTTTAAGTGTGAAGGCGATCGCCTTGAAAGGTGATACAACGTAGTAGCGGAAGCAGCCTCCAACGCCTGTCTCCCACTTGATGCTTGCGTTTTGAATTTGAGGGCTTTTCTCGCCAAAATTTTCAGCCGGCTGGATTTTCAGCCATGCGAATGGATGCTCCTCATTCCTTAGCATTAGGAAGAACCTTATGCTGCCTTCACTTCTCGACGAGTAAGTCTCCGCCCTAGGACTCCATTTTATGTCAATGTTTTTCGGGTCTGGAAACAATATTTAAGTCCATGAGTCGCACTCACTTTTGTGGGTTTCGACAATTGTTGGCTAATGAGTCATTAATAACAGTAAAATGTTAGATTCACGTAAAATAAATTTCGTGCTTGAAACAAGTTGCAACAAACGGAACTTTCAAACACTGAAGCAGACGCTTTCATTCCGACCCTGACATTCCCAAGCTAAAAACAGGAGAATGTCCGGGCTCTTTAGAACTGATTCAATCGTGCTAGTCCATCATAATCAGCTGCAATGATTCGGGTAGAGTAGCTGGTTGACTACAAATAAACTCAGAGAGCTACCAAGTTTTATCCAATCTGTCCAAAATACAGAATATACATAGCAAAAAGAAGCTGAAACCATTTATTTTTTGCCGTTAATGCTTATTGCAAAACTTAAAAACTTATTGCAGTAGAGCTGTGGTCGGTTTATTTCTCGCATTTAACCTCATGCCTGAAAACAATGAGGAACGGCGTTTGATTTATGAAGGCGAATGTCTAGAGACGATAAAACCGTAGATTAATAAAAGAGGAGCATTACGTACCCACAACAAAAACAGCTTGGCGAATACCCCTAACCACACAATGCACCATTTCACCTTCCACTTCGGCCAATTTATCAACATTCTCACAAGCGAAATCGCGCGGCATTTTCTCCATTAAATGCTTATATACATACACGCGCTTCAGATTTTGCTGCAGTTGACAGGCGATGACATCAAAAAGAAGGGCAAAAAATAAGAAGTGGACACAATGTTCCGTTGAACGCAGCACAAAACGCATTGCCGCTGGATACGATAGACAGAGTGGCCAAAAAAATTAGGTTCTATTAAGAAACAATATTATCCAAAAATTGGATGCAGCAATAAGTAGACCGCCCTTAAATTTAAAAATCCAACTATTAATCTGGAATAAAAAGA